GTCATTATTTTGAGATAATAGTCAAAATATTGAGAACATTTGTCATTATTTTGAGATACTAAGTCATTATTTTGAGATATTAAGTCATTATTTTGAGATACTAAGTATTTTGAGATATTAAGTCAAAATATTGAGAACATTTGTCATTATTTTAAGATATTAACTCAAAATTCTGAGAACGTTTGTCATATTTTGATATATTATGTCAAAATATTGAGAAATCATGTCATTATTATGAGATACTAAGTCATTATTATGAGATACTAAGTCAATATTTCGAGATATTAAATCACCATATTGAGAAATGATGAAATTATTATGAGATACTAAGTCATTATTTTGAGGTATTAAGTCAACATATTGAGAACGTTTCTTATTATAATGACTTACAGGGTTTTTATTTATTTGTTTACCACACTGGCAGAAATAGGCCTCCACATCAACCCCCCCATTACATCACCAGGGGGGGAGTTACCTGCAGTGTTTTTGCCTCCTGCTCTGCTCATTCAAAGGTTGGCCTGCAGTTCCGTCTCAGCCCACCAGGGGGCAGCACGACCACAAACCACCCGCAGAGCCGAAGGAAGCAAATCGAAACTCCTCAATGAGTTCACCTTCAGATAAATAGTTTGCCCCCCCCCCGCCCCCCTTTCTCCTTCCTCTCAACTCTCATTTTAATCGTTTTGGGCGTCTTGAGAAGATGAACGGCTCCGTGCACTCCTCATCCAACGTGGTGGACATTAAACTGAAGCGGGGGCCGTCAGGTAGGAAGACAAGGGGCAGAAAGTTAAAGCCGAGGCTGGTTAGTTAGCTGGCGAGCTAACAGTGAGCTACGTATCAACGCTGTGTGTATCCTGAAGGCTCAGTAGGGCTAAAAACTGCACGAACCTCCTCCTAAAAAGTGTTGTCGTGTCGCAGAGGGGGGTGAGTTTTTGTTATGGAAGCAGGCTGCAGTCTAATTCGTCATTTTTAAATTAATATGAACATTTATTTATGCACTTTTAAGGCTGTGTTGGAGATCTTTTTTTTTAAGTAAACTGCGTTGGCCTGTGAGGCTTTCTCCACTTAAAGCCAGTGGCGTTGGATAGTGAGGAAGGTTTGTTTTAGCCTCTTCAGCAGAGAGTAATGTCTGGTTTCACACTTGGAGTTTGTTATGTAACATTTTGTGACCCTGTGTGTCCATTTGAATACACCTCTGAGTCCTCTTGCACTTTGATCCACTGAGATAAATGTTGTGTTTGGATCAGCAGCCTCAAGCCCTGATAAACAATGAGATCTGTGTCTGTTGCATTTTACTCAGAAAAACCAATGTGTCATGCCAGTGTCTGTCTTTTTGTTGTTTTTTCAGGCTTGGGATTCAACATAGTTGGGGGCGTGGACCAGCAGTTTGTTGTGAATGACAGTGGCATATATGTGTCCAAAATAAAAGAAAATGGAGCTGCAGGCCTGGATCGGAGACTCCAAGAGGGGGACAAGATCCTGGCGGTAACACACGTTGACTTTATCCAGGGTGTGGGATGTGGGTGGGATGAGATATGATATTATGGTAAATGGACCTGTACCACTAGTGTAAAAGTGCTTGAGTGTCGTAAGATACTAGAAAGGCTAAAACAGTACAGGTCGATTACCATTTTACACGCAATCGGCGTGGCGGCCGTCACTTGCACGTGGCGGACCACAAGGTGAAATCTCACGTTACCAGACACCCTGCATCGCCAGGAAGCTGAGAGACCGCTTCGCGTACGTTGTCACCGAGGTGTTCGACCGTGCAAAAGACTGTGTAGCTTTGCAGGTAGAGGACGTTCTTCAGTGGATGTAGAAGGAGGAATTCAGCGCCATCGCACGGACACACAGTGACCACCGAGAACTATTAACTCAGATCCGACCAAGTGTTGTCTAATTCGCAGTGAATGGAATAATGAAGGTAAGGTAATAATCAAAAATCTGTAGGTAGTTAAAATAGACGTCCGTGAGGAATGCAGAGATGCCTCAGCCCAGCCGACGGTTTGACGACACCACGGACCACGCCCTTGCGCAGGGTGGACTAGTGACAAAAATGCGACGGCGTTCATTCAGCACCACCTTTACGACGGTAATGAGCCCAACTCCGAGAGCGAACCTAGGGTAAAGAAGCTGTAAGGAAGGAGTTGGAGTTCACGACTTACAAGGTGAAATTCATCAAAAATGACCACGGAAGGTCAAAAATGGCAGACATTGAGCGGTCACGCGCCAATAGACACCGCCTTCAAGACAGTCGCAAAATCACGGGTTCATTCAGCCCATTCTTTGAGAATACGGTTTCTATTTTAACACGATTCCGACAAAAGTTCCCGGAGGAGTTCGTTCAAATAAAAGGCCAAAAAGTGAAAATGACCCACAGGAAATGGCCGGACCGGAGTGAAAATAAAAATGGAAAATAGCCCAACTCTGTGTTTGGGGCAGATGCGCCAAGAGGCTACGAAACACGAGCACAACATGAGTTTTTGTATGTGACGTTACCCCAGCCCCCTAATCTACACATGTCCAGTGAATTTCATAGGTTCATACACTCCTTACAGTTTCTGCAGAGGATTTTACCTCGGCACCAGAGCCATCTAGTGGCGTGGATTTTTCCTTTCTTAGGGTAGCTCAGGGAGCATGGCAATCTATACCAAGTTGTCAAGTTCAACTCACCAATCCCAATGCAGAGATATAAACGCAGTGTGGCGTGGAAGAGCGCCACCTCTGTGGCATGGATCCTCAGTTGTTCAACGATTGTGCACGGTGCTATGATGAACACATGATGAACTGATGTGATTCAAGGGGCGTTTGGTGTCGATCGAACATACCAATGTGGAGAAATGGTGCCACTTCCTGGTGTGAGCGAAAAGCATCAACAGAAATGCTAAGCTTTAGTACACTTTAAATTTTCGAGCTAAGTACCAGAAATATTAAATTACTTTTTGTTAGCTACACTCTCAAGGGTGCTACGTGCAATATTTTTGTGCGAATGGACAAATGCGCATATGATGGAACAGGAAAACGTAGTTTTTGGACAGTTTCGCGGCTCTA